GAGATCCCCAGGAGCTCATGTTGCCTTGCTCAGGCTGTCCATAAGCTTGGAAAGACGGTTTTGTGCCAGTGTATGTTTAGAGACTTTGTGCGGAACCAGGAGTACCCGGAATGTATCTGTTCTATAAGCAAAGACTTAAATTGTGCAGAAACTGATGAGTAAACACCCTTCTTGGTAGAAGAGCTTTTACTTGTTAACTGTGGAGTAGATAAATCAACCTGATATCAACGCCTCCATGTTAAAGCAGCATCTTTTTTTCAGATGGAAGCTTCATTTTAAAATACAGCAAAATGTTCAGTATATTATGTATGGTTTTACTGAGAGGAACTGTAGCTGTTGGTTGTGCCACCTTCTTGTATTAACACTGGCCAGAGTGACAAACGTTTGTGTTGTGTGGTGGGCAGAAGTTGCAGAGTCATTCCATGAATCCGTCCAGCACGTGCCAAATACTGAACATATCGGTTAGCTCTGGGCAAAACAGGTAGCCTGGCACCCGACAACATACAGACCCAAAGGAGAGAACAGAGGAAAGTCTCCATGCTTGTTTGGCTTTCGAAGCCTGGTCCAAGAGAGCGCGTGCCTAGCTCAGAAGGCTTTAAATGAATGGCTACAATAATGGCACAATATTCTGCTTTATATTTTAACTCAAATAACGCATGCTTGTTGAGAGCTGCTTCACTCTAGCTTGCATCAGCTGTTACTCACATCCCCCTTTGCATGTATGACAAGTACCGTGCATATGTAGGTGTTCCTTGTGTAGGGACGTTCATAATTACACGCTGTGATCCATTGCACACTCAACTGCAAGTGCTGTCATCTCGATCCTGTGTTGATGTCATAAAACATGACCCAGTTTGGATTGCTGTGCCCTGTAATGAATGGTTGATACATCCAATGCCTGAATAGCAACTCTATCTTCTAAACTGTTAGCGGTGATTAGCAGTAAATGAATCTGTTTATATTAGCAGCGCTGCACAGGACACTTGCAAACTGTCGTTGGACTCTGAGCGGCTGTGTCAAGCCGGTTCCTGTGTTGTGTGTTGCCAGGTTTTTCCCCCTTTGTCTGAATTTTAGCTGGGGAGAATAGACAAGAATTCCTTACCCTAAGGACTTTGTGTTTTGGTTCTTCTGTTTCACATAGTGCCCTGCTCCTGAATTGAGTTTCAATTCCAGCCTGTTTTTTGCCCAGCGTCTATCATCTGAGCACCAAGTTTCGGGGGAAATCTTGTGAAAATATTTAGGTCTGGCAATGTATCCTGGCACTCAACAGTCTTTAAGTTGAGGGTGAAATCTAGAGCTGAGGTTCTTTCACTGAGCATGTCCTGCCTCTACCCTGTTGCACCTAAGTCCAAGGACTTTAAGAAGATAAAGAAAGCAAACTTTCCTTTAGTGTAGTACTAGTAAAAGGGTAGTTTCTATAGAAAACAGCTTAAGGCTTTGGTTTGCACTGAAAGCAAGATAAGTTTGTCTACCGAGCAATGTAATGGGCGGACCATGGGGAAAACTTGAAGTCAGGAAGCTATCTGCATTTTGTACTAAGTTGTTTTTGAGTGTCCTTGATGTAGAATTTCACTTAACAGCAGACGGTGACTATTGCCTGGATTCTCACAGTAAAATTTGATTTCGGAAAACATCTTTGCAACTGATACAGAGGAGATAGAAAAGGCTGGCTGGCTGCTTCCAGAATCGGTATTTTAATACTTCCTGTACCTTGCCTGTTCTCTTTCAGTCTGGTTCCTTTTCAGAGACATCCTATTACTATCCGATTTGCTCCTTTAATTTCTCTCTCCTCCCTTTAAGTGGAGGGGGTGGAGGATGTTAGTTCAGATGCAAAACTCTGTCCTGGATGATAACGGAAAAGAGAAGCTAGATAGCCTATTTACTATTGTTCTGTTGATTGAGAGAAGAAAAATCATGTTCTCATTTTCCCATGAATAATTCCTCTGGCTCCGTGTTTCTCTTTCATTGGAACTTTCTCCAAAACGTCCTTCCTTTCCCAAATGATCAGGGAAGCCGTCTAGTGAAGTGACACAGTCCCAGAATACTGCAAGTGCATTTGCTCCTTTTGCAGCCTAGGCAATGTCTGTCTGTCCTGGCCCACGGTGGCGAACTTGGGGTTCACTCTCCGGGTTTCTGCAAGGCATCAGAGAGCGTTCGTGCTCAAGTCTGAATGCAGTTGCTGACTTGAGGAAGTGCTCTTGTGCCCTCGTCTCTAAGGGAATGGACTTTATAAACTGTCTGTGCTAGCTTGGCAAATGGCAAAACTTGCGTTTTTTTTGCAAAATGGACTGAGCAGTTGCTTGTCTAGTGGACCATTTAAGGCTTGCTAACTTGTGATATCATCTGGGGGAAAGTGATAAGTGTGTGCAGGGAGAGGAAACAACACTTCTGAGTGCCGTTTTCAGAAAGAATAAATGCCGGAGTGACTAGAGTTTCTGTCCCACTTCAACAACACACTTCAGTGTCCTGAGATAATTTTTAAAAAGCCAGTTGTGATTTAGAAACGCAGCCTTTGAGTTTTGCGCTTTCTAAAGACGGTTTTTAACGTTCTCTTGTAGCGTATTACTGTATTGTAGATTCGTTATCTCGGGTTGGAGTGCATTAAAAGGCAGGCGTACTTAAGGCAGCACAGTAGTTCTTCACGTTAAGCTATGATGGTTTCTCTGATATGTGATGGGGTTGGATCGATGTTCAGATAGGAGTGTGTGGTGTTTGAGGCTCTTGTCCCTCAGAATGAGGCCTAGCATACAGCTTCGTAAGCCACTAAGATCTTACTTTCCTTTTTTAACTCTTAATCTGATCCTCTGCCACCTAAGTGACCTAGCTGATGCTGATTTTCTTTGCTTTGCATACGTACAACTAAATTGGTTCAGACCATTTAATCAACCGATAAGAATTGACCTTTCCAGGCTGTAATTTCAGTTAGTAGCTTTTACCAGGTATGTAACTCAGGAAGACCAACTTTTGGTTGTTGCAGGAGACTAAGGAGAAACTTCATAAGTTAAACTAAAACTCATTCTGCTTGTTCATGTTTGGAAATGTTGAAAGCTTGCTTCTACCTGGAGTGAGGTATCACAACTCAGGAGTTGGTTAGTTCACAGATAGGTCTCTCTTCTCTAATCATTCCTCCCACAGGTATAAGAGTGTGGAGGTTTTTTGTTTGCTTGTTTTCTCACTGTGACAAGGCAATGCTAAGTCTCTTAAATATATGTAGATATTCCTCAAGAAAGCAGCACACCATACTGTCATGTGTTTTTCTTAAGGCTCCTTGGAAAAGAGAAATTTGTCTCATCTCTTACAGCTAGTGAACTTTTTGACCAGCTAAAATAATCTCATTTCAGATTTGTAAATTATTTGGTCAATATGATATTGATTTGCATTTAAAAAAAAAAAAAAAAAGGTTTATGGGATGCAACAAACAGGTCTGGCTTCATTGTCTTTGAAGAGGATTGCAGCGTTCTTTCCAGAATCCGTTCTCCCCCTGGTACAGCACCAAAGATCACACCTCCCCTGAAGCAACGCTTCACGGTTTCCGAAAGCGCCGTTTGTCCTTTCCTTCCAAGCTCCTCAGAGCTGTTGTCAAACAATTTGCTGCAAGAACGATATGGGCACTTTAATACCTTTTTTGTTAGGCTCCTGTTTACCAGCACTCTTTACTTCCCTTTTCTGTTACAGAAACCAATCCTGGAAAGCCCACATCTTCGACCTCTGTTTGTTGAGCCTTAGAGTTGCTCGATCGTTCTTGTCATAGCCTTTCCCTCCAGCCCTTTTGCCATATGCTTGTTTGATGCATTGTTATACTTTCCTGTTTCAAAAGGCTGTGCTTTGGTGCTGTCGTGTACCTTCACAGAACTGTGACACAGACTGAAGTCCAAAGCAATGCTGTAGCTGATACCTTCCTACAGGCAGTGTCAGCCCATAAACACCTGCTAATTACTGTTTACTTTGGTAAATAAATATCCCAGTTTATATTCTGTCAGTCCACAAAGCATTCCTGGACCAATTAAAACTATATTAGGTGTAAAATGGCATCCAGCTATGGTCCAGTCCAGGAAATTGAAAGCTTAAGCACAAAGTTTATCTTTTGATTTTTATTGGACCAGATGTCTCTCTTGAAATGGCCTTGTTAACCAGCAGTTTCTTCCCTCAAGTAGACTAAGTTTTGTTTTCTTAATGAATATATACGGCTAAATGGTTTAAATTGTCTTTGTTTACAGATGTTCTCAAACAATGATGAAGCTGTGATCAACAAAAAACTTCCAAAAGAACTGCTGCTTCGGTAAGCCGCCTTTTAGTTTGTGAGCTTGGAAACTGTGTGTGTGTGTTGTGTTGTGTATTGTTACTTGCAGCCAGTAGCTGACTCTGCCGGTATGCTCATAAATCATGAGCTTGGATCATTTCTCTTACAAAGTCATAAAAAAAAGAAGCCAATCAAAGGTCTAAATATTTATGCTAAATATTATTAGGTTTTGTTTTTAAAATACTAAATTAATTTGCTGATTGCCTGTTTTATGGATGGAAAAACTGTAGGACTAAACAAATCCTTAATGAAAATAAATGGTAAGTATAGGCTAATGTGCAGAATAGGATTCTGCCTCTCTTTCTATAAAGTGTTCTATTCAAAAAAATCCATGTGGACTCTCCTGTTCCAGTTAAGCCTGAGCAGACTCTGTCTTGCTCCTTATTAACAGGAACCAGATGCTCAGCACCTGAAGGGAAGGTCCTGTTGGCAAAGATCAAACAGATTAGACTTTTTGGATCCTGGTGTACAATTCTGCCCTCTCCCTATGCTGCCCTTACATATGTGCATTTTGAAGTTTGCCTTTCCAAATGCAGGAGTAGTGCAATCGTGTGTGATTGTATTTCAGTCATCAGTGTGATGTCTTTAAGTTCATGATCATCAATGGTTTAAGCTGAGATGCTAGACTGTAAACAGTGACAGGCAATTGTAGGTGGCAACTTGAATTATTAAAATGAACAAAATTCTTACACTGCAAGAAACTGTAATACTGTCAGCATTTAATGGCAATAAAAAGTCTGGGGAGTCTGGTATGAGAAATGGTTCCTAGCTGACTTGTGAAATAAAGTGAATAGAAAAAAACCCTAATGTTTGAGAATGACTTTTTTCTTTTTTTGACTGTACTGTCTCATCTGTTCTCTGTAATGGCATCTCCAGTCTGATTCAGTTTCTTTTACTCCAGTCTGAAAGCAATCCTTGAACTGAGGTAACTGTTAATTCTTCAAAGCGTATGGCTTCTAAAGCCCTTCTTGCTAATGTCATGGGTATTTGCTTTTTGAGCCTAGTGTATAGGCAAACGATTGTCTATGCCATGCAGAGGTTGCTGTGTAAAAGATCAGCATCGAGTAGCTGGAAGAGATGAGCAACCTATGGGAGGGTCAGGATGGAGTAGCATACATAATAGTCCAGACTGGTTGTGTGTGTAATTTTTTGCAGAAGATGGCAGTTATCTTCACCCAGCACTTGCCCGGAACCATCGGTATGGATGTGTTACAGCAAAGGGGGAATTTGAAGAGTGAAAAAGCACCTCTCTGGATTTTCTGAAAGGATGTGGTGTGGTTTGGTTTAGTTTCCCTGATGGGGCTAGGTAGGTGAGAACCTGGTATTGCTGATGCGGCGGAAGCAGGATTTGACCTTGCAGGAAGGTAACCAGACACCTAGGTAGCCTGGGGACAGATTGTGAGGAGCACTGGCGCTTAAGGCAAGGAGTTCATACGTGGTGCAGTAGAAGTAGGGAATCTGGGGGGGGGGGGGGGGGGGGACCAAGGTTGGGGGATGGAATTTAACTGAGGTTTTACTTGACCTTCAGGGGAAGAGGTCTGAAGGCACCAGTAGAGTGCCTTGATTAGAGTATGGGTAACGCTTCTGGCAGATTGATCAGAGTGGAATGATATCGAGTGGGCCAGTAGGCCCACTCAGGCCGTAGGAGGTAGCTGGTATTAAGGAATAGAGAAGTTTGCTAGATGATAGGATTTGTGCAGTGAGAGGGAATTTCCTGTCCCAACTAAGGAATTTTGTCGTACAAGCCATAATGTAGCAGTTTTCAGCACTATGCACACTTTTGACGTAGGGAAATGTCTATTGTGTCTTCATATAACCAATCATCCTAACCTGCTAGAGAATAGAGCAAGTGTTCAGGGTTGTATGGAGCTTAGGAAAAATCAGGAGATGGAGTTTATAAATGTTAAAGTTCATAAGTAATGATTTTAAGAGTTGGAATTCACTGTTAGCATACTGTGAAAATTAATTAGTGTGGATTGACAGTGCAGCCTTTGAAAGAGAAACTTGGATGCATTTATCTACAGGAATCTCCTGTAAATGAGTGTCACTGTCTACAAGACAAAGACTTATGTGTTTAAGCAGTGCTGCTGTGTAACGTCTTGTTCTCTGGTTTGTTCATTCTGAAGATGGCATTGATGTCTCATGTATGTGATTGCAAAGTGGAAAGCTGTACTTGAGTGAAATAAAGAGTAGGAGGGAATAAAAGGGGTGAACAACAGCCTTTGTCACACCATAAGATATAGCATCCTGGAGTTGCACATTTCTCTTGACTGGGAGAAGGGGATGGATGTAGAAAGTGCTCAGGAGGTCTGACTGTGCGCAGAAATCCTTCTTTTGAAGGTGTCCATGCTTCAGTCGTCTTGTCATATTGTGCCTTACTGTGTTATTGCAAACAGTAATGTTTATCATGCATTTCCATAGATAAAGTGGGAGACGGGATTATTTGTAGCTTGTTTTCCCAACAGCAGGACCCTTTAACCAGAGCTTTCCTGCAGCATGTGGATTGAGAGATCAGTTGATGGGTCACAAATCCTTGTCCTGATGCTGTTGTACCTGCTTCTTCCGCCAGCTGAGTTCTTAGAAGCTTATGCCTTTATAAATGAATATACCCTCACATGAGCAAAGCCAGTAAAATGTGGAATTTCATTCAGTGCCCTCCCGTTGACTCACTGCTGCCAACTCCTCTTCAGGCAGCATCTGGATTGCTGACTCTGAAAGGTGAATTCGTGATCCGCGCTGGCTCTGGTTGTGGTCGCTTCCCCAAGAAGGGGCAGCATGTCCCTGGTTTCCCTGTGCTGGCATTAACGATAGCCTGTTGAAAAGGTGCATTCATTCTTTGAGGGCAGCCTGCCAGTTGCTCTTTGACTGCAGGCCAAACCCCAGCTACAAGCTTGACTTTTTTGTGGTAACGGTGGTCTCTGCTGGTTTCCTGAAGAAGGTTTACTCTTGGCATGAGGTCAGGCTCCTAAACAGCTTATGCTTTTCAGGGTGAGGCAGACCAGGCTGCAGGGAGTTTGCTTTTTCCTTACTCGTTTAGAGGCAGGTCAAGCAGTTTTCAATTCTCTCCTGGGTTAAGTGGCTTCTACTCTGTGTCACCTCCTGCTGCCTCTTACCCCGCTTTTGGAACATCCAGTCATTGGCAGTGGCTTTGCTGTCTGACCTTCAAGCCCCATGTTGATTTAGTCCTCAGTAGCTTGAATTCGGTTCAGAACAAGGACGCAACAGAACAAATAGTGTACCAATGAGTTGGCAGCAAGGTTGTCGTTTCTTTCCTCCTGGCCAGCCTGCCGGCATCATATTAAGAAGCAAAATTTAGCTTGAATGGTGGGTCATTCGCATAAATTGGTGTTGGTAACTTTAGAAGGCTACAGGTCTAACCTAGGTCACTTCAAAACCCACAACTTCCAGGGATTTCAGTAGAATTTTGACTCTAATCTAATTGGAGTAGCAGTGAGAAAGCAAGGAGTCTGTTAGATCCTGAGTGGATTAAGAGGTTGAAAGCTGAGAAATGATCTGACTGCTGGTTTGGAGTGTGCTGTAGCTAAATTGTCTGGTGCTAGACCGTTCAGGCAGTCCTGCCCTCACGCAGTGTGTCTGGTTGCTTGCTGAGGCCCATCTTTTAGCTGTGGCCGTAGTGAGTTACTTTGTGAAATAATTTGATATTTCAGCAGATTAAACTCGTTTCAGTTCTTGTTTGGAATACTCGTCTGTCTTCACCTTTGATCAGTGTTTGAATATAAAGTTATCTGTATGATTATTTTCTTGCTGTCAGCTCTGAAGAGTAAAAAGACCAGTGCAAGAGTATAGCAGTTGATTGTAAACAAAATAGAGATGCTCTTTTAGACATACAAGTAAACGTTCTAGCTATGTGCCTTTTGATCTATTACGGTAGAATCAGGAAAACTTTGCTTTCTACTGTGCAGCCTGCTGAAAGAAGTCCAGCGTGTGTGATCCATATGGTACTCCTGTAGGAGGAAGACAACTGCTCAGCCATTGCTTGGCCATGTGGGCAACTTGTGTGGGATTTTTTTGTTCCTCAACAACTTATTGGAGAAGAAAAAGCCTTTCCTTAGGATTGCATTGGAAAACTTAGCTCAAGTCATTGTACCTGCAAGCCTTTAATTTTGCTTCTGCTTTTCTCTTCAGTTTCTGTGGAGGGTTGCAATTGGAGCCAGTTCTGAAACGACGAAAATGCACAACAGAGTAGTGACTGCTCTGAAAGAGTAGTTCTTGCTGTCTTATTCTACTGAGTCTTTGTCTAATATTCTTCAACAAAGAAAAGATCAGAAAACACTGAGGCATGTCCGTTTTTAAGCTTTTCATAGCAAAAGTCTTTGAGTTCTATTCAAGTGCATGGACTTCCTAATGAGACATTGTCACACACTTGCACCCCAGTTACTGGCCTAGTTAGGGCAATTAAACTGTTCTTTCCCCTCTCCAAGAAAGGTAAAAGTTATATACAGTGAGTAAAGGGGATAGGTGAAAAGCTGAAGGTGAGTTGTTATGCATCCCACAATACCAAGAGTATTTAGGAAGTAGGGAACTCCTGGGCCCTTGTGTGAAGCTCAGAGATGTTAACCTGAGAGGTGAGTGGGGAGCTGTTCCGCTGTTCTCACTTCCCTTTTACTGTGCAGGTAGGCTGGAAGGGAGGAGCAGGAAGCAGCAAAGAATTTAGATGAGACCTAACAGCCCTGATAGAGGGATGAGAGCCTAGGATTTCCATGGATAAAGCAGTATTTTAATGAAAATATAGAAATTGTGCCTGCTTATTGACTTAGCTACTGTTCCTATGGAGTTCAGTATTTTTTGGTCCTATGACAGGAATTCAGAGCAGAAGTAGGAGTATTTCCTAGCTTCTGTCATGTCCTTAGGCTTTCCTTGTATTGCTGTTCATTGATGTTGTACTAAATAAATGCCCAGGGCACCCATGTATGCACATATAAATAAATTTTTATGAACAAGTCTTCCCTTGAATCAACAGTTAAAAGTGAGTAGGGAACTCTCTTCTGAAATCCACAGCTGGGTTCCCAAGGCAGTGTTAGAATGAAGTGCATGTTTGCTCTTTTCCAGACCTATCTTAACCACGTATATCTCGACATGTCACTGTGAATTTTGTCTCACGAGGGGAACACATAGGGAACAGACGAGAACTATCTTGAACCAAATTCCTTGAGTGTCTTTAGGCAGTGTGGGAATACAAGAGAACATCTGGTAGCTCTGGGCTCAGGAAAGATGAGCGTCAGGAATGCTATACAATTGGTAAGTCAGATCTTCGTGAGCGATAGTAGGTAGTCTCTCATGACAGTTCCAGCTTGTTGACTGCCTTGTGCGTTCATTCTCTATCAGTTCTCCCCTGTTCTCTTCTTCCACCAATACTGATGTTTCTAAAGGGCTTTTTATACGCTTGCTAGTCAGAAAGCTTGGTCGTGCAAAGGTTTATCATATTGTGGCGTCTCAGTCCTGCTTGTGTCCTCTCCTAAAATTTGAAAACCCAGGTTTTACTCCTTGTGTGTAACCACATACTAATAGATGTATATCTGAGAACGTATATGGGGCATATTAACATGCATATAGAACTCTGTGAGTAGCAAAAGCCTGGATAACCCCTCGTTGTTTATCTCGAGGACAAAGTGCAGTTTATCCGTGGTACTCATGATGTTTGTTCTTGTTCTCAGCACCTCTTCCCCCGTTTTATCAGTATTTGTGTGCTATTTATTCAAATATATTCCTTGCACTTATCGGAGGAGGTGAGTACGTCATACAGTTTTATAGAAGAGTTTCAGTAATGCATTAGTACACAGGGTGTTTATCAAGCCTATAAGTCACGCAAAAAGAACGCACTGCCAGCAGCATCTTCTCATATCTAAGTCTCTCCCAGCCCAGGCAAGTCTGCGGAGAATATAGGAAAGCTTACGTACACCCTCTCAAGTTCACAGACTGTCTTGTGAGGAGTTAAATCAAGTGTTGCAGGTACCAAAAGACTACTAATCCAGGCATACGCTATTCTCCTGAGAAAGTCCAAAGCTCTTTGGAGCATTTGGAGCATAACATTGACATCCTCTCTCTGAGGTTCTTCAGCTTTAAAATATCGAAGCAAATGTGCAGGTATTTTCTTGTAGTGAAACACTTGTGTTATCTTTGCAAAAACTTCATTCTGTGGTTTTAGAATTGCCATCACAGAGACTGAGACCTTATTATGTTTCAGTGTCTGTTTGGTCATCTCTGCTTTGTGGCACATAATTGCTTGAACTATAAACCATAAAATATATTGATAAACTCCTTATAGACTTGGGAGTTTTCAATGGATTTGGGAATTCATGCCTTCACAGGTAAGGGTGTGTGCGCGTGAGTTGAAAACATAGAATATCTTAGCCCACTATAACATTGCAAAGTATGACTATCTGATTCTTTTATCCTAGTAAATAGGACAGCAACGCCAGGGTGTTGGCCCGAACGCTTGGGCGTGCCCGGCCAGAGGAGTGACATACCACGGAGGAGTGACCAGATCGGCTCAATCCTAAATGCGTCTCTCCTAGACGCACTGTACTGACGCATGCTAACAAATCATCTCGCTGTGCAAGTCGCTCTGCAGTGTTTCAGAGCGAAATATTCCTCCCACCTCTATGTTAGTAACGCCTAGTATTTAGCATGGCTATGTGAAAAATAAGAAATAAGCCATGAACTGAAATCAGACTGTGGTGTTACTTTGGTTTATTAACTGTTAATTGTTTTGCTGCCTGCTTTTGGAGTGTAGTTGTTAGATGTGTTTTTTGCTGAGAAACAGTAGATACAACTATACTTCTGTGTCAAATACCTGTTTATTCTGCCATACCCTGTCCTAACTGAATGTTTGACTGCCAAGCTACATGGTACCTGTAAGCATTTGATTTTTAGATAAATAATCATTCTGTTTACTGTCAGTAAATACTAAAAGATACGAGATTAGTATTTCACAGTAGTTCAGTGTCTGTGATTTTTGCTTTCATTTATTAACTGCTTGGTCTGCGCTTCTTTTTGCAGTTAAGCTTTCAGCTGAATTATGAAGAAGTTCTCCTGTATCCAGTCCTCTCTTCCTTTAAGTCTTCTGTATTCTCTTTGTTTTAAATGCAGATAACCAAAAATAATTTTCACTTCTGTTACAGAATTTTCTCTTTCCTGGATGTGGTCACTCTGTGTCGTTGTGCTCAAGTTTCCAGGGTAAGAACTCTTTATCGTTGCTGGTAGAATTTAACAATTTATTGTACTTGTGTTGCAATTCTCATGCTGCCAGACTTCATTGCATTTCAAATTGGGAGAATTTGTACCAGTAAACTCTGTGCAAAGACTGTTTCACTTATGGTTTTTTAGTGTCCCATATTAACATGGCAATACTGGAAACTTCTGATAGCAGTTGTGAAAGTGGAATCAAAGTTTGAATGCCATTTTGACAGTGTCTGAGGCCTCATCCAGATTATGAAAGAGAGGTGCCTGACTTTTTTCCCCGAAGAGTTGTCCAGTCAGCCTGGTCTTTGTACAGGAGGCCTGCCCCTGAAGAAAATGCTAAGCTTACATCCAAGTATCATAGATTATCTGAACGGTATATCTGTGCTTTTTGGTGGAGATGTAGCATGTTTGTGAATCAAAATTTCTACGTGGTAGAAAGTCAATGAACACTTGGATTTATTTGATGCAAGTTTGGAAGAAACCCCCCCCCCCCCCCCCCCCCCCCCCCCAAAAAAAAAAAAAAAGAAAAAAAAAAGCTTCAGCTAGTGAAATTTGGCTTGATTACTCATGGAAAAAATCCTCATTACTCATTACACGTGGAAAAAATCTTCCAACTGCAGGTCCGATCCAGTCATTTAGAGCTACCAGACTTGTTCAGATACTTTATCCTGCACGCTTCTAATAAAACACACAGGAAGCATTACTGTAGCAAGAGTTATAAGCTGGCTAAATGGAAAGGTGGTTATAGTTGTGTTCCCCTCATTGGCAGACCCAGTGCTGAGTGACGCCTGTACAAAACTGATCGATCTTGGCGTCAAGCTGTAGGATGATTTGCTTTTATTCCTATATACCCGGAATAATAAAAAGGCTGCAATTAAACATTTTTAATTGCAGCAAAAACCCTGTGTGATGTCCAAGTGCTATGGTTATGATCCCATGTTCTTGGAATATCACAGATGTCCCAGGGAGCTGAAATTCACTGCTCCAGTTCAACAGCAGTGACCAGCATGGACTGTCAAAGATCATTGCCAGTCTCCGTTTGTACTCCCGTTTTTGTCATTCGCTTCTGTTTCCACAGGACATCTAAGAACAAATCAGTCACAATGTGACACAGCATGCACTCTAAAGGAGTAAAGTATTCACACAGAGCTGCAAAAAGGCCATATGTAATGTTCCCTACTGGATGGCACGTTAAAATGTACTGTGTCATGACTTGCGTCCACTAGTACGTTTCTTTTCTACTTGGGCTGTTACTTTTCTTATGACAATAACTAGACCGTAAAACAAATATCCTCGATGAGATTTAAAGTGCAGAACTTAGATGGCTTGCACAAAGACTAGTATATTGTGGTGGTGATGTAGCTTAGTGCATGTAATGTGTATAGCATAAAAATACACCTGTATACATGCGCTCTTTCATAATGATGGGCTTATAACTGTTATAAGATCTAGCTGTTTATATAATTAAAATTTTGGTTATAATATTGTGTTGATGACTGTTTTGCATTTAAGTGCTGAAGTATTAACTTTCCATTCCTGATTCTTGTTCATAGAAAAAATAGTATGTGAATTTTTTTTTACAAGCTCATTGTCCCCTGCCGCCCCCCCCCCCCCCCCTTTAAAAAAAAAAAAGCACTTAAAGGTAGTAAACTGTCATTACAGCAGTTGTGCATAGTTCTCAGGTAAGAGCTGGATGCTTTATTTGAACAGCTTACAAAGTTTTTTGAATTTCTCCATCTGTGGGACATAGCACCCCATGCAGCAAGCTGTGGAACTGCCTTGAACACCTTGTTCTGCTGGAGGTAAGAGAAGGTGTGCAAGTTGACAGCCTCACCCGTCTCTAATGGGATCTGGCCGCATAGTCCTTGGTTCCTGTGCCACAGAGCAAGTCCTCCATGCCCTCAGACGAGCTTTGTTTCTCTTGTCAGTGTAGGTGCCTGGTGTAGTTTTGCACGTGTGACTTGCCCATGTCCTGGTATCCTTCATCTTCACACTGAGCCTGCTAGCTGCCTTAAAGGTGTAAGGAGTTACTCTTCTTGATTTAGCTGGTGATGCTGATTAAGGGATTAGATTCCAGCCAGAACTGTGAAGATGCCCTAACTTCAGCACTGCCTCCTGTCGTGGACCCAGCGTCTACACTATCCACAGGCGCAGAAGTGTCTGGGGCACGTTAGACTTGCCTGTTTTGGGGACTTGCGAAGAGTGTGCGGTGTAGGTGAGGTGACTCTTGTCTGAACAAGTGATACTGGTAACTGAACAGTTTTCCTTGTTGGCTGTAATTACTTGTTGCTTTTTCATCTAAGACAGAATGTTGTTTCTAAAAGGAACAAACTGTAACTAGGTCCCCACTGGCGTTTTTTCATATTAACAACACATTTACATTTTTTCCCCTGATAAAGGCATGGAATGTTCTGGCCCTGGATGGCAGTAACTGGCAGCGAATTGACCTGTTTGATTTCCAGAGGGATATTGAGGTATAATTAAGTGACATACAAACCCATTTTTCTTGTTAAAATGTAATTACAGCCTAGAATGGATTAATACTCCCAGCGTAACCCTTTTTACCTTCCCTGGAGATAGAAATCATTAATTTCAGTTCTTCTTAGCTTCAGGGAGTCTTTAAAGTCTTGGCAATCCATTCAGCTTTTGAAAATGGACAGAATTCTATATCTGTATCAAGACTTAAAGGTAGTAATAGAAGGGCAGCGTTTTTATATGCGTTCTGAAAACAGAAATAAGTAGGGAAGGTAAGTTCTTGTGAAAATTATTGCTTATGTATAGCAGAACTTAGGCTACTTTTCCTTTCACTCAGCAAATGTTTACATAAGCTCAGACCTAGACCGTTAAGACTGTGACCTTTCTTTCAAAGGTGGCCTGCAATATGTCTCTCTTCCTGTCTTTCTCTAATATTAAAAATTGAAACATAAATGAAGATGATACAGAGGGACCCTAGATCAAAATTGCTCCTAAAAGATGTTACTTTGGAAATGCCTCATTATATCTAGTATGGATGTTAATTGTTGACTACGTAGCTATGAAAGGAGTGGATGACGTTGTCATGCCGTTCTGAAAGTTCAAATTGCATTAAACGGGATAAAAGACAAACCCTAAGTTTCTTATAAGGATGTTTATATTCTATTTAAAATATTTTGGAGAGGGGAGATAGGGAGTCTGTCATTTTAACTCACTAGGCGTAAACCAGAGGATCCCTGAAGATTCACACCTAGTGGGAAACGTACACAATATTTAGTTAAAATTCTCTTTCTCTGCCAGCCATGTACCTAAGCAGCTAAGATACGTGGCTAAAGGACGTGCCTGTGATAGCACCGTGACTTCTGTATGCTTGCAGGCGTCTGAGTGGCCTGAGACTCCTTGAAGGAAGCAAACCAAGTGATTTTTGTTCTTGGTAATAAATACCTAATTTCTTAGCATACCCTGAAAGTTCTGGACCCATATAACTATTTGCTTTCATAGAGGTATGGTCAAGTTATTGATGGTGCCTGGTCTATGGAGGTAACAGGGAATGAGCGTAGAACTTCACTGCCATGCTACTTTCTGTGGGCTGTGTGAGAGGGAGAGAGAGGGGAATGCTGTGAATACAAACTAGGCTTTTCCCCGTTCTTGAGTGGTTTTTGCATGGTTTTAACATCTCCCTGTTTCCCAGCGTCACTCTGTACGTCAAAACACATGCTCTTTCTTAAGCATTGACTTTCCCTTTTGAAACCAAGTGCTTTAGTGTGTTGTACCTAACCTAAAATGAACCTGCTTAGACTTTCTCATGTCCTAAATGTTGTTTGCTTTTAAGGAACACAAATCCAGCAATTGATACAAATTCCATATGTTGTCTGAGTGTATTTGAATCTTCTAATCCAAGCATATGAATTCATAGTCGTGCTAGAGGAACTGCAAAAGTACATGTACTGTTTCAGGTTCTCCAGCCTTTCTACACTGATCCACAGATTGGGCTTTCAGTCTGCTGTCGGCCTTTAGCCAGTGCAGCACTTCAGTGCGCCGCAGCTGCGGGAGTTGTTCCCATAGCCTGGGAACACAAGTGGCCGGGTTTTACCAGAGGCTCATGCAGAGATCTGGTTAAGCTGGTGTCCCTTTTTCAGTTGTGAAATTACTTCGTAGCTAGCCTGCTTGATTTTATTTTTTAATTGGGAAAAGATTTTTTTTAAAAACATCCCTTCATCGTTATAGAGACCTTAAATGTCAACTAGTACTTGAAGAAATGACCGACTTTTCTGTCCTGCGATGAACAGCCATGTAAAATAGAGTAGAGGGCAAGGCATTTGAGTTACTGGACAGCGATACCAATTTTTTGTTGTTGCTGTTTTTGTTTGTTTGTTTTGAACTTTGTTCAAAGTAGTAAATATCTGAGAAAATGCTTTGAAAATGTGCAGTTAAACTGCATTGCACGAGATCTCTTGAGCAAATGTTTGAATCCTTTTTTTTTCTGTGAGAGTAGAACTCATGGGCTAGTTCTCTCATCTGCCTTTTGAATAGAAATTTATCTATTTTTAGTACATTCACTGTACGTACTTGCAAATCTCGCTGCCTCTTGTGCAGCAATGGTGGTGTTTCTTTCATCTTTTTTGGGTAGTGTGTGTCAATGTCCAGGAGCTCTGGACTGGAGGAAATTCCTCAAACATTAGCCGGAGCTTGCTTGCTCTGGCTTTAGGTAATTGTTTCTTGTCTCTCCATCTTCAGAAGCTGAATAATTCTCCCTCTCCCTGTCTTAGATTATTATGATGGCATTTTTGTTTTCTTAGCGCTATTTTACCTAGAATAACAAACTGTTGTTAATCTGCAAAGTTTTGAATTCAACTTTGTCAATGCTGAGGTCACTTTTGTTTGTTTTTTATTTTTAATGTAATTCTTTCTGTCTCCGACAGGGCCGAGTAGTTGAGAATATTTCTAAAAGATGCGGGGGTTTCTTGCGGAAGTTAAGCCTGCGTGGCTGTCTAGGAGTGGGAGACAACGCGTTAAGGTAGTGGTATGCCTTCTTTCTGCTCTTAAACACAATGCAAAGAATGATTCACTGTCTTCCAGTCCTTTGTGATGGCAGAATTTGCGAATACTAAGAACTGAGGTCTTAAGGATGTTGGCCTAACTTAAGACATCAGAAGCGGTAACATATAAGCCTTTTTAATTTATCATTTTTTAACTTAACACAGTAGCTGTTTTCCTCAATTTAAATAACTTATCAGCCTCTACTACAGGATAAGTAGTGGTGGGCGCTGAATCACAAACTTTTGCCTTTAAGCTGGGAAATCCCAAGACAAGATATGGGGCAACACAAGTTATTTATTGTTTTTTTTATTTTTGCTTGAGACAGTTTCTTAAAACTTTATCTCATGCCTTGAGGTTAAAGCAAATGCTTTAGAACATTGGGAAATCTGTCACCTTAAAAAAAAAAAAAGCTATGTTTTGCCTTTTTTTTACCTTTTCTTTAATAAAGGACATTTGCACAGAACTGCAGAAATATTGAAGTATTGAACCTAAATGGCTGCACCAAGATCACAGATGCGTGAGTAATGTTCCATTTCCCCTGTCATTTACATATTGTTTCCTCCTTCTCCTTTTAAGGGAAGGCCAGATTTGGGTGTACTGTAGGCAATATAATGCATGTCATATGAAATGTGTATGACTTTGAATAAATGTATCACAGGAGACTGTCGTTTGTTCTCTTGCAGTACGTGTACCAGTCTTAGTAAGTTCTGCTCTAAACTCAGGCACCTTGATTTGGCTTCCTGCACTTCCATAACCAACTTGTCTCTGAAAGCACTGAGGTAGGAGCTGATAACGTTGATGACATTCGCCAGTTGACTCCAGATAGTTTGACCTGCCATTGCCCCATCTGTCTCATATGCCTCAGAGAAGGAAATAGGCTTGAGGTGCAACTGTGATTAGAGTGCAGGCATTCCCCAGCAGAGCTCAGCGTTCACATGTTACGCCTCCTAGTTTGCAGAGATAGAGGAGGACTCAGTAAAAGCTGCCCTCAAGCTTGTTTATATCCATCCTTGTGTTTGTTAGCAGTGGAAGAATAAGTCTATTGTATTACAGTTTTGGAGGAGGGGTTTTGGGGGAGAAGCAAAAAGAAGGAAAAAGTCTTAGACCACCTTTTTAGGTGCTTGTTTAATAACAGTCCTCTTCTGCGTTGTAAGTGTACCATTGCACGCTTAGCTAGTGTTAACGTAGTTAGGTGAACATCAGCATGTGACTATTTGTCTTTTTAAACTGCTTAGGAGACACGTAACTACTTAAATCTGCTAAATGGAATTGCCAAGTAATCTAGAAAAGGAAGGGAAAGACAGACATTGGTGGGAAGAGATTGGGACAGAGAAAAGGAGGCAAAAAAACAAAGGTAAAAATAGGGGCTGAGCTATTAAAAAGTTTTTCAGTAGTGTCCCAGCTGTATCACTGAAAAATACTGAGGAGGGTGCATCTAGACTCTGAAGGAAAAACATAGATTTGAAAGAGCAAATGAGTGATTAAATTATTTTGTAGCTTCACTTAGAGCATGATTTCCACCCCCACCCACCCCGGGATTTGATCCTTGTTGCTAATTTCACATGATCAAACTTGTGCTGCAGTTGTCTCAGATATATGAATGGCATGTATACCTCTGCATGATTGCAAGTCACGTGTGTGAATCTTACACCTACGGGCAGCTATTTGCAAATACAAAATGACACCTGGAAAGTTAGACGCAGCATGGCAGAAGTCAGCCCTCTGTTTGGATTCGGATGAGAGTGGTTTGGTGTATGCAGATTCAGAAAGCCCGTAAACATTTTCCTAGTATAAGAGTTGGGAGGTGCCCAAAAAGGGGTGAATCGGTCATCTTTTGTCCTGCTATCAGGAGTCTAAAGCTCCTGATCCTGCCTTTGGAGAGCTCTTCACATCTGGAGATGATGTTTGACAAAGAAGAGTTCCCTGTGGGGTGGGGGTATACTTCCTATGCCCGTGTGGAGTCCAGAAATGGGAATTTCCTAGATCTGACTAGAAACAGAATTTCTTTCCTGTCCAAAAAAAGTTTCCACCCACTTTTCCTTTCATCTCCCAAGTGAGGGATGCCCACTGCTGGAACAGCTGAATATCTCCTGGTGCGACCAAGTGACTAAGGATGGCATCCAGGCTCTGGTGAGAGGTTGTGGGGGACTCAAAGCCCTGTTTCTGAAAGGCTGCACACAGGTACGGCTCTACAGAGAACACTCCAGTCGAATAATTAATAGCTACTTGCTTTCTGCTGTAACTGAAAGTATGGGGATGAAGTATTTTAGATTTTTTTTTCTGTTTCCAGAAATATGGCATTACTGAAATTATTCACACTCTGTCTGTTGGAGATTAAGTGCTTTTATTGAAATTCCTTAATGGCTTTGAGCTCCGCATGAGTAGTGGGACAGTGAACAAATTGCATATCTAGCTGTGAAATCATTCTTCCTTTTTTCCCCATTGGGAACACACTGAGCAAAGTTTTTACATAGCGCGTATGCATATATATTTTTTTTATTTTATTTTTTAAGAGAGGATAACTTTGTTATTCACGGCTGTACCCATCCTTTTTGGAAGGATTCAAACTTTTAGAAAGCCTGACAGTACTTTCATCTGTAACCACGTGAAAGAATTTCCTCTACGTGTCGTGTGGATTTCTAGCTGGTCAAAGAGAATCACATTGTATGTGACTCTGTGTAAAGACTTCTCTGCAGCCAGTTAGAAGTGTTAAACTGTTCCCTTAAGTGTATTGTATGGCTCCTGAGGTATGACAGTACATTTTGAAGAGACTGCATGGAAAGGTCTGTGGTACTACTGATTCTTTGGAATGTCAATGGTGCACTGACTTTTATAGCTGACACTTGTTCTCCCTTGTTATTCCTTTTGTTGTTTAGACTTAATTTCCTTTTAACCTTACTCTTACTGTTTTACCTGTTGGATCACTGAAAAATTTAATATGTTAAATGCTTCCCTATATTACAATTTTACTAAGGAGCAATGTCAATTATTAACTAGGGCACGAAGAACATCTACCATGAGTATTACTCTTAATGAATGAGACCTCTTTGCAACACTATTTTGCAAAGAATATGGGGACTAATTATTGTTTCTTTACTTAAATGGGGTGGAGTCTTTTTAATGCACAAACAGATCAAACTGAAAGGGAGCAAACATGCATCTCAGAATCTTGTTCTTGAAAAAGAAGAGTAAAGCTGACCCTGCTGGAGTTGAAAGCTGTGACCCAAAGACTCGAGAGAGTTTAAGAGCCTCAAGATAGACCTGGAAACTGATCTCCTTGATCTCTTTGATTCTTCTTGTACCTAAAACACTGAAAGTACTCATATGTTTTGATTTTTTTTTCTTGAGGGGTGGGGATTTCTTAAGCGTGAGTCAGTAAGTGCCATTTTCATCTACTGTGTATAGGTAAACAGCACTCTGTTTTTTATTTTGCAAAAAGCATGTTTCTTCTGTGCATGCACTCAGAAAGCCCTAAAAGGTTAGTATGATGAGCAAAGCAATAATACACTTGCTATGGGTACAAAGCAGTAATACATTTTTGTGTGCAAGCAAGCTTAGCTATAGGGGCTATAGTCATTTTTCAGTAATTTGATATTGCTGTTGTGTTTTAATCCATACGATAGGTATATGTGGCTATAAAAAAGGTGACTTGATCAGAGACATAACAATCTCAGCCTGTTTTCATAGTTTAGATTATAGAAACAGCTTGAGTTTCTAGTAATTTATGGATTCCTGAGAAATATTGATGGCAATACATCCTTGTTATCAATTATTTGCCATCTGTTCTTGCAGATTTAAGAATAGAAGACTTTTTTATCTTCAGAAAGCAACAGGGATGTGTTTGTGCTCCCTACGTTGAAATAACATTTCTTTGAGAGAGAGAGAGAGAGATTTGGAGTGTTGCAATATACAAATGATGATATTTGTAGGCCCTCACTGGAGCCTAATGAAGCACTTCCTGAATTCCTATAAATAGTTTCTGATTTCACTTCTTGCTTTCTTAATCATGCATGTTGGATCAGATCAGCATTTCTTTAAATCAGTAACTTAGTGCTGTGGGTCCTTGAACTCTGTCCCTGAGGTGGTAGAAAGGGACGTGCGCTCATTGCTGTGTATTTTGAGACTGCGATGTGTTGCCTTCCTTCCCCATAGATATCCCAACCATGGATGTTTTAATGTTCTCAAAGCTTTCTTTGAAGATTGCTCCAAGTATTAACAGGTTGCTTCAGTCTCTTAAATTTTTCTTTCCAGCTTGAGGATGAAGCTCTCAAATACATTGGTGCACATTGTCCCGAACTGGTGACTTTAAACCTTCAAACATGCTTAGTAAGTAAGCCTTCTTACAGTTTCCCAACTCGGGCAGCGTTGTGCATTTAGAGACCCTCTATCAACACAACCATGCAGAACATACTCTGTCCCAGAAACATTGTCATCTGTGTGAGCAGGGCAGGTGTAAGTTTGTAAGACTTTTAAAAATAGTTGATGAAAAACAGCTTTTTGGTAGCATTTGGTAATGCTGAATAAGCCCCCACAATAGTGTCTTAGCATTCAGTTTGTCAGAACTGTTTGTCTCTTTGCCCTGCCCACAGGGCTTGTAAACTCATTTGCAGGACTAGCTGGAAAAATTCTTTCCATTGGGCTGGAATGTTTGTTTGGTGTTGTAGCCAGACTTACTCCAGTCTCTTCTTAAAAATGAACCAAGCAGTGCAGTTGCCCTGCACAGGACTGTAAACCAATTATTCTGCAGTGCCAAAAATATATGTTTAAGCCAAAACAGGAATTGTAATGAGCTTTTTATACGTACCGTCGTGCACTTAGTCTGACACGGTGAATGACTGGACACTCCCTTCCCTTTCCACTGAAGTGGGCAAGGCTTTTGGGGCTCCAGGACTGTCCTTTTTTTCTGTCCTGTTTAAGGAGCAGCTTTACCAAACACTAGACTGACTAGAGATTTGGTGTCCGTCCATCTGAGACTGGGTACTTGCAAGGAAGGAGTAAACTGTTAGCAGCAAATGCCAGAACTGCGTCTGGGATGTAGGCAGAAGGCAGGAAAGGGAGAGGCAAACAGGCAGAAGGGAGAGGAAAACAAGTAAGGTTCCTTGTTCACCTTAATTGAAAATACCATGTTTTACTCGGCTTCCATTTCGTCCTACTCCAGTACTCAGGCTTGCCAGTCTACGGGTTTGCGATTTTAAAAGAAGCAGTGCCAGCCCCTAGCTTTTCTATGTGGGGAATTGAATCTGGCTGTGTGCAGAAATCTAGAACCTAGGAAATGTGTGTGGTTTAACCTGGGCCTCAAACATGCATGGCCTGGGCCACCTCTGTCCCTTTTCATCTTTTCTCATTGCGTGCATTGCTCTTGGTCCCACGTAGCTCCTTGGCACAGCCATGCTGAGTCCCAGAACCTCGTGCTCTTGCTCATGCTGGGTAACATCTGGAACAGATTCCTGCATTGTTGCTACCCCAGACTCGTTAGCAGAATGGGCTGCAAAGGGCTGGAACGGGCCCTCTGCGTCCAGGAACACAGCAAGGTTAATGGAGTTACTGTGCCATGGTGTGAATTTGATGCAATCTGGACTGTAAGCCTGTGTCTTGCAGTTCGGATTTTGGTCCCAAACTATTGAGGTGTATTTTCAAAATGCCGTTTGTGAGAAGAGAGGAAAAAAAAGAAAACTGTTCCTTATTTTCTGGGTGACAACTTTCAGGTGCTTTTTTATCTTGACTTTCAGCCATGAAGCTCTTTGTGAGCAATTGTTGCAAAGGGAGTCAGGAGACTGCTTCTAGACCTACTGTTTTCCCTATTTTTAAAAAGCCCTGCTCAGAAACGTTCCCGTGTGTGTGTGGAATCACTTCCAGGATATGCACAAGTTGTTTTGGAGTGGCTTATCCTGTTTGAGCTGCTCCAGTGAAATATTTGAATGCACTTTTTTGCTTGAAAGAAGCATAACTTGGCCTGAGTTCAGCACCTGCTTGGAAGTCTGAGGGCAAAAATATGCACTGCATTGCACCTCCACCTACTTTGTTATGACTTGTGATGTTGTTGTTTTTCTTTACATAGCAAGTAAATAGTTATTTTCTTTACATGTTGTTTTCTTCCTATAGCAAATAACAGATGATGGTCTCATTACAATATGCAGAGGATGCCACAAGTTACAATCCTTGTGTGCTTCAGGCTGCTCTAACATTACAGATGCCATCTTGAATGCCCTGGGACAGAACTGTCCAAGGCTTAGGTAAGTTTTCGGTGCAGGATTACCTAAGCTTCAGTGACCTATTATATATTGAGCAAAGGATCTTGGTGATATGGTCATATAATATTTGAGCTGTTTTAGACTCTGAAGGTCTCTCAAGTCTGAAAATGTGCTTTCTTATCACTGAGCTTATTTCTAGACATTTGCTATGAGGTGATAGCAGTTGTACCCAAACTTTAGTTTCTAGACTTGTGCAAGTAGAACAGTGGTAAAAGAGCTCCCTGCCGTGGTGGTGTGTGCTGCCAATAGATTCACTTGGTAACAGTCTCCTTCTAAACCATTGTATATCTACTTTTTTTTTTAAATGGAAAATAGTTGAAGTTAGGTTACTCTTGTGCTGAGAACTGAAAACACATTTCATCAATTTTTTTTCCTCTTAACATGTGATATTGACAGAGTTTTAATGATTTTTATAGCAGACAGAGTTGTGTTAATTTTCACTCTGCTTGAAGGAGTGGGCTTCCAGCATCATCTCTGCAGGTGTTTGCTTTTTATTATTTTTAAGATGCTTATTTTTATTAGGACAAGTTTCTTCAGGAAGATTTTGCTATAATTCAGAAAATGGCCAGGTGCACAAAGAAGATACAGTTATTATCTGGCATCTGTAACAGTTGAGTGGCCTGAATTAAATGGCATAAGATACGATGTCTTCCAGGAAAAAAAAAAAGATCAGTTTTCTGTGATAAGCTTATTTAAAGAATTATGAGTGCAAAGTGCAGCATACAAGTATATGGGAAACAAAACCAAAGAGGAAGGTAAAACATGATTTCAATTCCAAATGGTTTCTGTGCTTATGTTTGCCTGCAGTTTGACAGTATTAAGTTTTGTGAAGCAAAACGCATACTGCATTTCAGGAACGCTGGCTTTCTCCTCTGTCAAGGTAGATAAATACATTAACACTGGGAAGCAAACATCTATAGAACTGCAGTGACTGGCAGAAAGTTTATCTGCTGTCTCAGAAGCAAGCAGTTTGCCTCCTAGAAGACTTCCAAGTCTTCTGTCGTGGCATTAAATATTTATTCCTTCGTGCCTGTCTGCCAGGATGCCATGTATACTGTCTTGCATTATACCCTTTTCCATGATGAGCTCAGTACTTGGAGTGGAAACCAGAGGAGTTTGCTTGGGGAGGTTGTGGAGTGCCCAGCAACGAAGACTTTTAAGTGCACCTTAGGCCAACGTATGTCAGAAAAGAGATTAAAGTTGTCCTGCCTCGAAGCAGGGTGCGGACTGAATGACCTTTGGAGTTCCCTTCTAGCCTGACTTCTTCTTTTTTTGTTTTTTCCTGTGACCTACACTCAGGTATAGAGGGTGGATGCTCTGTGCAAATTATCCTCTCAGAGAGCACAGCCTAAACCGGGTCAAACTTTTCTGGGTTGCTGGAAGCTTTTAATGAAACACTCTGAAAAGCAAAATGACTCCACCATGGTTATTATAAATTCTTTCTGTGCAGAATATTAGAAGTTGCAAGGTGTTCTCAACTAACAGACGTGGGCTTTACTACTCTAGCTAGGGTAAGTGCTGATTTCCACTTGTTCACCAAGTATCTCTGCTTTGTTTCCTTGATAGATCTAAACTAACAGTAGCTTTCTCTCTTGAGCGTAGGTTCTTGTCATGTTTTGAGTTTTGAAGCTTGAGTGGAAGTTAGGTGACGTAAACTAGGTTGTACGTAATACCTGCTGTCTTCAGCATTGTCCTGACCCACGTGCCTAGGAGGGTGTGCATCCAATTTGAGATGTCTAATACTTGGGAGTTACAAACTTTTAATGTTTGTTGTACTAAATTAATCCGTGTCCTCTACAATTGACCCTAAGTTTAACTTCCTTTGCTTTCTATGAATAAAGGAAACTTGGTGCCTGTGAGTGAGAGAAATTGCTAGGTTTTCTTTAGTGTATTTGATTTTCTTCTTAAAGAAGCAGCAAACTTTCCTTTCAGTCATGACACTTTCATGGAGAAAAAGCTTCCCTGCTAAAAAAGGACGCTCTCTTTACTGTAGACGTGTTTATATTTGCGGTCTGAACTTTGCACTTAGCTTGTGCACTCGCTCTTCTGTTTGTTCCTAGAACTGCCATGAGCTTGAAAAAATGGACCTGGAAGAGTGCGTCCAGGTAGGCGATGCCACCTCTGACTGTTAACGTTTTTTAGCGCAAAGTCCCAGTGGTGTGGAAAAATGGCTTGTGATAGAAATTTCCACATTTCTAGCGCTGGACCAACAATAAAAAGATGGTAGATTGTTTCCAACTAAAAACTTATTTTAGAGTCCTGAACAGAAAGACAGCCAGATGTATTTGGATAAGAAAGTGTTGCTTTTGTATAGTTTGATTCTTTGTTCATATTTTGTAGCAATGAATGCTGCCATAACTGTAATAAAAGAAATGTTTAATAGTAAGAGATGTGTCCTGGAGACCGTGCATATAGAATTGTGAACCTTTGACACAAGATTGTTAAGATCCAGAGTAAGATCTTTGTGTGTAAGACGAGGGGAAGTCTGTTCTATATCTGTTGCTAGAGATGGTAGAAGTTATCTGTTTTGAAAAAACATAGCCAGAATGTTTGAACAGCAGTGATTTTGCATGGAAAGGAGATGGCAGCAGCTCACAGTAAAACCGAGATGCCCATTCTACCGCTAGCCTTCCTAGAAGGCAGTGGGATGTCACGTTTCACCAGTTACCGAGTCTGTTGTTGACTCTCTTGATAACTCCATGCTGCAGGTTTCTTCATTAGCTTTAGGGATGTCTTACATATGTAACTCGACACTGTCCCGCTGGGTATGTGCAGTAGGCTGATTAGCATTTCGAGATAACTTTTACAGGGAAAATAATTGCGTTTACTCAAGATCCCATGGAAAAATCTGCCAACCCTAAGGACAGACTGGAGTTGAAGACAGTGGAGACAATAGGATTTTGCTTCCTGCCATGAGAACAGTTTGACCTCAGTATTCTGTACTTCCTGATGTTTACAGGGCAGAAATTCAGGAGATCACAAGAGGAAATTACAGTAGTCCAGACAGGAAGTGATTAAAAAAGTTAGCCCAAAAAGGAAAAAGGACAAATTGGGCTGTGTCCTTGGACCGCTTTGAACAAAGATAGCACAGCAAGTTCCCTTCTGAATGCTTTTAGATTAGAAATCCATTGTGTCCAGTCTCTCTCTTTCTTCCTGAAGGACTAACGAAGAACAATTCAGCAATCTAGAGAGCTGTTAGAAGGGGATTTTAACACCTCTCATACTTTCAGGGACAAGTATTTAGGAGACTTTGTTTGGGTACAGTGGTCTGCTCGCTTGTCCCTCTTAATTGTGTGAGCTTGCTTCATGACAGCTGACTAAGGAAGTACAAAATAACAGCAGTACAGACCCCGTGACCTATCGGACCTTTGAGGACCTGAGTTGATTTCTGATTTGGCCTTACAGGAGACGAGTTCCTGGGGGGCTCAGAATAGTGACTGTGGAGAACTGTTTAGGCAAAAGTTTGTGGTCCTACTTCAGTAGGGGGGAGAAAAAAGCCTTTTGTGCAAAGCGTGAAAGGGCTTTTCCTTTTTTTCCAGATAACAGACAGTACGCTAATCCAGCTTTCCATACACTGTCCACGGCTTCAGGTTCTGGTGAGTGAGACTTTGAAAATTGTCTTTCTGTAAACAAAGGGATTTCAAATGCTGCCCGTGGGGATTTGTCTCTTTGACTTCATAGACGTGTGGTGAAGGCCTGGAAAAATTCAACTAGAAACTTGACCCCGTTAATCATACGCCAGGCACCCACAGCTGCCTGAAAATGGGTTATAGGACAATGGGTTCTCCTGATACCAGTCTCTACCTCTCCTAGGCGAGCTTAGCAGAATCTATCTAGAAACCAGGCTGTCGGGTCCTCTATTAGAGAGGAGACTGCAGCCCTTTTCACCAGTAGTCTGGACCTGAGAATCTGAGACCTGGAGAGACTACTGAATATGGAAAGCAGTTTTCCTCTTGGTCTAAATTTCTGAGAATTTAGTCTGTCTCCCTTTGTGTTCCTGTGTACTGCTTCATTCTCATCATGAGAAAATTTGTCCTGGGAGGTGAAGGGTTCTAGTCAGTGGGTTCTCTTGTGCAGCTATCCCCTGTGCTCGCTGGCTCGCTCTACAAAGTAACAGGCCGATGCTATCTCCTAGCTCGAGCCCCACTTCAAGAATTTTTAGGTTGTAGCCCAGGAAAAAATGCACCAAGTAGGTGACATGGTATTTCTATGGATTCTTTGACTCAAGGCCATGGAAATTTGACAAAGGTGGTTTCTTTGCAGATAGAGGTGTTTATTCCATTTCCTTGCAGTAAATGCCTGCTGTCCTGTTACCTGACCCTGCGGGTCTCATCTTTCAGAGGCGCTGCCCTTTCTATTGTGCTTCAGCTATGTTAGGTTTTCCCCTTGCAGGCATATTTGTCATTGGAGGCCCACAGAATTGATTGCTTGGAGTTGGGAACTTGGCAGTAGCTCCGGTGCAAGGAGAGAACATAGGTTTGTCCAAAACTCCAGTGTGGCAAGCTAGTCCATGTGTATTGCTCATATGAGGTGTGGGCCATTTTATCTTTTTGTCTTCCAAATGCCCTCAGCAGGGTGGTAGCGTCTATCTGGTGATGGCAGAGGCTGCTAACTACCTCTGTTTGGCTGCAGAGCTTATCCCACTGTGAACTGATCACGGACGATGGGATTCGCCACCTGGGAAACGGTGCCTGCGCACACGACCGCTTGGAGGTGATCGAGCTGGACAACTGCCCTTTGATCACAGATGCCTCCCTGGAGCACCTGAAAAGCTGCCACAGCTTGGAGAGGATAGAACTGTACGACTGTCAGCAAATCACACGAGCAGGAATCAAGAGACTCAGGGTAAAAAACAAAAAACGTTAAGGGTGTGACTTGAACACTGTATCTGGTAGGGAAGCAGGAGGGCTGAGTTACGGATTCCTCATGATCTGATGCTCAAAAGTATTGCCAGAGCAGTTATCTATGAAATTAATAGCTCCCTGCACTCAAGAGAAGACTGGATGGGGCTGAATAGCTAGCTGGTAGGGAAGAAATACAGTTGCTGTGCCCACCACGTAGAAGCAGGAAGGAATACAGGAGACCCAGCATGCAAGTGCTCACTTTGTGTGCACTTATACTTAATGGTGCTCTTTCGGACATGGGACCAAGAATTAGCGCCACAGCAAGCGCACAGAATGGCATCTCCTCTTGACTATTTTATAAACGTAGTGTAGACTAGATTGTGGACTGCTTTATACTGATACTTCCTATTATTTGTGTGTGTGCACATGCATGCACATACACACATAAATATATATGTGTATATATGTGTGTGTATATAAAAGCTGATCCTGTAATACAGTCATTCTGGCATAGGGGAGGCTATATGGCCTTGTGGATGTGATACAGAGCCAGAGCAGCTTTGTCACTAGCTCCTGGATCACCTAAGGCACCCTTAGGTGTCCCAAGTGATTCCTTTCTGTCTCAGTTTCTCCATCTGTAAAATCAGGGTAACAATACCGTTTTACCTGCAAAGAACACACAAGCCTGTACAGTTAGATGTTGTTCTGTTCCCCAAGTTCAGTACCTGATTAACAGGGAGGAAAGAGCATCATTTTTTTCTTATGTTCTGTAACCCTGACAGAACTTGCTAATCCACAGTATGTCTGCAAGTCGTGTTGCTGAATTGAAAGAGTTTGACGCTAGTTTTTGTTCTGTGTTTATAGGCTAAACGCAGGTAAACCAGGCCTACCTCAGCCTCTCTTTATTTGACTATTGCGCTGCCACTACTGTTGTTACTTTTACGTATTGTGTTTGTCTTTTCAGACCCATTTACCCAATATTAAAGTCCACGCCTACTTCGCTCCTGTGACTCCACCTCCTTCGGTTGGGGGCAGCAGACAACGCTTCTGCAGATGTTGCATCATCCTATGACACTGGAAGTGGTCATCTTTGCAAACTGAGTATTTAATTACACTTGTAGAATTACGGTGGACACCAGTATCTTCAAGGAAAGCGATACCAGTGTCATTTGCAAGGGCCAGTGAAAGGGCCTGTGGTGCCAGGCCCTGTAGCCACCCATACGCATACATATACACACCCTACGTGTTCCAGCAAACTGATGAACTCTGTGGTATGGGAGCTGGAGCTGTGTTGGCTTCTTCTGTAGGTGGAGTGGTATAATTCTGAACCATTCCTACTGGGCATGCTCAGATGAGATCATTGCGGTAAGGAGGGGAGGTTTTTGCAAACCCAAAATGACTGTTGCTGCTGTTAAAGGATTTCAGTTGCTGTTCCAACTTTGAAATGGGTTGAGGGAGAGAAAGGAACCATGCTTTAACCCCACATCCACTGTTCAGGAAAAAAAAAGACATAAAAAACTGAAGAAGTTTTGTGTCCATTTTCAGTGAGGGAGTAAAACAGCAGCCATTGTGAGACATGATTTACTTGTGCTTCTCTACTTCCCGTTCCCTGCTGACCACCCTGAGCATGCTCACATCGAAGGTTCATCTGTTTCTTCTGTGTTTTGTAGCATTCAGCTCAGAGGCTTCCTAGGTTGTTGTGATATAGCTTGAAATCTGTAATATCAGGCTCAATTTTTTTTATCCTCCTCATATCGTACTTTTTTTTTACAGATTTCTAATTCAGAAATTTTTTTGGGATTTACCAAACAAATTATGAATCAATAATTATATATAAAAAAAAAAAGGTACTCTTTACCATTAGAAGCCTGAGCCTGAGATGACCTTTTAGGAAGATCTTAAACAGAAAGTGAGCTGAACTACAGGCTAGGCTCTCATAGGCTGCTTTGCCTGTTTTTTTTTGTTTTTGGGGTTTTTTTTTGTTTTTTAACCAGTAATTGGGTCTCTGAATTTGTTTTACATTTCAGATTTTACCCCAGTGATGAGAGTATAACCCTTGATATAAGGGACAAACTATAGTCTCTATTCCAGTGACTGCAAGTTCCCTGCTCTTTCTGCCTTTCCCTCCTACCCCCAAAGGAACAACAAAGTAGAATCATTTTTGCTTATTGCCCTGGTCAAGAAATAATGACTCACTAATTGAAGCAGAAGGAACAGCAGGCCTGAAAATGTCCTCCATCACTGTCCCATTGTTACACAGTGAGGTGTGAGCGCTGGGTGATTTTGCTGACTTTTGCACCTTCCACAGGTAAGTGTCTTGCCATGGAGAAGGAACCGTCTGAATGAAATGGGGGGTTACTGTGTGCCAGTTCCTCCCAGCTGTCAGGGTATGTGTTTATAGAAGCTGCTTTTGAGGCATTTCAGGCAAGATTAATCCAGGTGCTTCAAAGGAATATAGACAGCTTGAGCCAGCTCTGTGAACGCCCGATTCCTTGATGCTAGCAGTTCCAGATGCCCAATGTGAAACATGTGAACAGATGGGCAGACGCCAAGGGTTTAATGGGGCAGAACTTGGTCAAACTGTAACAGGTTTGTGGAAGACAAGTTGATGTGTAAGTAATGGCACTCTTGCCGCTGTCTGCACCCCGGGATAGAAGGGGGAGCATGTGTTTACGAAAGGTTCCCAACTGACGGAGACAGAGGAGCAAGTCTGTTTAATCAGCTTAGCTGCTAGCAGCCAAGGAAGTGGTACCTCACCTTTATGCTGGATAATCAGAAGATGGGGAAGAGCTGGCTGAAGCGCTAGGAAGGGCCGTTTCAGAGTTCTGAGGGCTTTTTATCTACTGTGGGTTTGCTTTGAGAACCGTGTGTTACTACCCACCCTCTTAGCACCATCTGAGTGAGCTATTCAGGCAGTCAGAAGGGTTGTTTTGTATCACAGAAGCTGTAGCCCCTTCACCTACAACTTAATTTCCCCACCCCACCAATATACGCTTAACAAAGTCTTGCAGATAACGCAGTCAGCTGGGAAGAAAACCAGTATGCTGTGTTTAAAAGGATACTGTCAATTCTTTTCTTATAGATTGCTTTTAATCCGATATATTTATTCAAATCCTCTTTAGCACTGTGGTTTCTCTCTCCTCAATGAGCCTGTTCTTATACTTCATTTGCAGAACTCCTTTCTCCGATTTTCAGGGTGGCAGAAGATAATGGAGCTTCCCATGGTAACAGACTGACTATCTGAATGGGCGGGTGCGCCTTGGGCAGAACCCAGCAATCACAGTATTTGCACAACTCTGGGAAAAACACTTTGGTTAGTTTATATTGTGGCAGGGGAGAGCTGAAATTGGTTTGTAAGCCAGGGTATAGCTGGCTGACTGATGTCTTTGTAACAGAGCAGTTTTCAAGGGAAAACTCAAGAATGCAGAACCCAAAGCGTTTTTTTCAAACAGGGTTAACAGCTAAGGTAGCTCAAACTACTTGACAGTGTCCTTTTAAGTCAAAGTATCCGTCTTTAAATGGACTCTTCCTTATGTTTGTATTTATAAATACCAATAAACAACCATTTTCCAAGCCTTGTCTTACTAGAGGAATACCTTTGTAGAGCAAAAAAAAATGCTTCTGCATGTGGTAGCGTGTTGGACATGGGCTGTGTTTGGGAGTTCTGTTTTAGCTCCCTGTGCATTCGTCCTTGTTTCTGCTGGACTGATGACTAGCTGAGAAGGAGGATCGCTAGGCACTAGGTCAAGCGCTAGCCCTGTGTTTGATCTGACGGCTACAGAGGGCATCAACCCTTGAGATTCAGGGACCACCTTTTAGAGGAATGTTTTTGTAGTGTCCTTTTGAAGGATAAGTGATGCAAAACCGTGGCTCTCCTGAACAGTTCAGTGAGGAGCAAGCCCTGTCTGAATATTGAATCAATTTGAAGACTCCCTACTTGTGCCAAATCCATCCTTTCCAGCCTCTGGACTGGACTAGTTGGACCCAGTCAGTTCAGGTCCTTGATTTGAGACCGTGAGCTGTTCTCTATGTATTGGCCCTTTCCTTGCCCTCCCTTGAAAACCCATGCGCGCCCCGGAGTCCCGAGATGCCTCTGTAGTTGTGTCCCGCAGTCACAGCGTGGAGGTTGGACTGTTTATCACCACTTTGAAAAGTGTTTTGCTGTGACCTGGATCTGCCTTTCAACACCTTATCCCTGGCCACGTAGCGCAAGCACAGTTAGAGCTGAGCGTGGTCTTGAGGTGCTCGTTGGACTTTCTGAGCAGACGGGTGGAGAGAAGAAGGGGCATCTCTAACAAAGTAGCCTGAGACCTTCTGGACGAGTGCTGTTGAGATCCTCCAGGGGAGGTGCTGTGAGGTGACCTGATGCAACCAAAAATTAGGCTTTTCTTTTTCTTTTTTATTTTGACACACAGCAGCACTTTTGATGGTGATTCTGCCTGCTCCTGATGAGGATGTGGCAAGTGTAACATGCTGTCACAATGGTTGTTTAAAACAGAAACTTTAACAAATTCCTATTTTCTAAACGTCATTGTAATTTTCCTTTTTTATTTTACTCTGAATGTGTTGTTCATGGCTGGCCCATGGTGTCATGATTTTGGGGGGGTATTTTTTTGTTTTGGGTTTTTTTTTTTTTTGGTTTGACGGGGTGGGGGGTGGATGGGAGATCAGTATGACAAGGTTCTTTGCTGCAGTGTCCCATGGCAAGCGTGCGCCCTGGAAATGGGGTTTAAAATGTCTCGTCCCCTTGTGATGAAGGATTGCACGCGGTTTCTTTTTTTTGTTTTGTTTGAGGTTTTTGGCATCCAAAAGAGCTGACCGTGATTTCTCTTCCATTCTCTCTCCACGCTTGGCCACTCAGCAGAGGTAGCCGGTGCTGAGGGTCTCTGTGCTGCACCTTGGCCCTGGCTCCAGGGGGCCGTGGGAGGCCACAACAACAAAATTTAGGGGAAGAAGCGGCTTTGCTCACAGCTTCGGTCCACGCTCCAGAGCCGTGTGCCTTGTCCCCTCGGCTCCGGCTGCCTTCGCACCGCGGCAGGGCACCTTTCCTAGGCAGCCTGCGCGTGCTGGTGGCCGTGCACGGGACCGCTCAGCAGCGACACCCGCTCTGCGCCGCTTGTTGCGCGGGGCCCTTGCTCAGCCGCCGGCACGTGGAGCTGCCGGTGCCAGCAGTTGGCTGGCCTTTATTTACGTGAAGCTTGGGTGTGTTCGGGTTTTTTCCTTTTTTTTTTTTTTTTTTTTTTTTATTTTAGCAAGGAAATGATGCCCTGCTCTGCCCAGCTGGTGTGACGCTCTCCGTGCTGAGACGACCTCCGTAAGGCGTTTGCCGTGTCGCGGGGCCGGTGCTCTGCCCCGGGCGGCCGCGGGGGCCGCCAGCGCGGCCAGCCCGGGCAATG